AAGAGTAAGACCGAATCTTTCCACTTAGGGGGACCTCAACTCGACATTCTTCAACACATGGCTGACAAAGTAGACCGGGAGCTGGCAGCCGTCTCTTTCAGCAAGGAGGACGACACTTAGAGCATGGTCAGATACTGCCAAATACATGTAAAGCACTTCTTTGGGCAGGGGACTGACCAGCCTTGGCAAGGAATGTAAGTGAACTTTCAGTTTTTGGAAGGCCGCCTCAGCATCCGGCCCCCATTCAAACCTTGCTTTCTTCTTTATTGCCTGAAAAAAGTAAAGGCACTTTCCGCCTGACCGGCTGAGAAATCTTCCCAAGGCCGCCAGACAACCTGTTAAGTTTTGAACCTCTCGGACGGTGCGGGGCGACTTCATGTAAATGACCGCCTGCACTTTCTTGGGGTTCACCTCTATACCTCTCTGATTGATGAGGAATCCAAGAAACTTTCCAGACTCAACCCCAAAAACACACTTCTTGGGATTGAGCATGACATGGTGCCGCCTGAGTGTGGTGAATGTTTCTTGGAGGTCCGTTAGATGGTCCATCTGAAGCTTGGACTTTACAATCATATCATCTATGTATGCCTCGACATTCCTTCCAATTTGGTCAAAGAAGACCATGTTTATCATTCTTTGGAAGGTGGCCGGGGCGTTCTTCAAACCAAACGGCATGACCGTATAACAATATAGCCCTTGATCAGTGACGAAGGCCGTCTTCTCCTGATCTTTCTTCCACAAAGGGATCTGATGGAAGCTAGAGTAGGCGTCCATGAAGCTCATCAAAGCGTGGTCGGCTGTTGAGTCGACCGGACTGTCAATTTTAGGCAAAGGATAGCTATCTTTGGGGCACGCCTTGTTCAAATCAGTGTAGTCCACACACATTCGCCAGGTACCATTCAACTTCTTTACTAGTACCACATTTGCAACCCAGTCAGGGAAGTAACATTGCCGAATGAATCCTACATCAAGCAGCTTCTTAACCTCGACGGTTGCCGCCTGACTTCTTTCTTCACCATGGTTCCGCTTCTTTTGCCTAACTGGCTTCTTTTTCGGATCCACAGCCAATTTATGTACCGCCAGGTCAGGACTGATGCTTGGCATTTCATGAACTTCAAATGCAAAGATGTCTTTGAATTCCTTCAAAAGTTGGTGAAAATCTTCACCCAAAATTTCAAGAGCAGTCGTCCCAACCTTGACTGTTCGGTCAGGACGTGAGTCGTCTAGCACGACATCCGTATGCTCACCAGCCGGCTGAGGGCGGAATTCATCCGACCGCTCCTCTGCCAGTGATTGCTATCTTTTTTCTCTTCTCTCGGCCCCCAATTGGGCAACCTTTCTTTTCTTACCGCCTGCTTTTTGAGCAGGCGCATCCTCCTTAACAAGTTTAAGATCAGTTTTTTCACCACTTGGGCCAGCAGCCACCACAGTGGGTTTGATATCCGAGAGGTAGCACTCTCGAGCCATCTTCTGATCTCCCCTTAGGGATCCGACTGTTCCATCATCCTTCTCAAATTTGAGCAGCATAAGAGAAGGTATAATGACAGCTTTAGAAATGTTTAGGGTAGGTCGTCCCAGGATCATGTTATAGGCTGAGAGTTCTTCAACCACTAAGAACCGAACCACTATGTGACGACCCTCACCTTTCTCACCCAGGCGGATGGGTAGATCTACTCGTCCTATTGGGTGTACGACTCCTCCTCCAAACCCTACTAAAGGGTGAGATACCGGGTGTAAGCAATCAGTTTTGTACTTGAGCTTTGCCAAGCACTTTCTACTGATGAGATCAGAGGAGCTTCCGGTATCTATGAGGATCCGGCCAACTCTTTGGTTGGCCACCTTGCACTCAATGACAATAGGGTCATCATGCGGCCCCTTAACTCCTCCCAGATCTTCTTCTGTGATAACAATCTCTGGGAATGAACTCTTGGCGGTCTGTTCTTGGTGAACGGAATTAACATCTAGCCGCCTGATATTGTCTTTATTGCCTTTGATAGTGGGCCCGCCTCCTGAGAAGCCGCCTGTTATAGTGTAGACGACTGCGTCATCTGTATCAGAACTGTCGGCTTGCTGGTCTTTCTGGCCGACTGTTTGTTCTTTGGGGGAGCATTCCCCTTGGACTTCTTGACATAGGAGTCAAGGTCGCCTTTTTCAGCCAGTTGGTCCAGGTAGCGCATGAGGCTGATACATTCGTTGGTTTCATGACCAACATCTTCATGATAATGACAGAATTTATCCTGGTTCCGATTGCTTGCAGAACCCTTCATGAGGGCCGGCTTCTCGATTGAGATCCGGCTCTTGATTTCTTTCAGGATAGCTTGGCTATCCTTGTTGAACACATACTTCGGAGAGTATGGTTTGAAGTCTTTCTTCTTTTTCTGGGCCGGCTGTCCAGAAGAGTTGGTCGCCCAGACTTCTTTCCTCTTTTTCTCATCTTTATTGGCCGACTGCTTTGGTCAGCTTTCTTTTTTGTCAGACCTTCTTCCGTCTGATTGCTTTCCAGTATTGCAGAGATCAGTCGCCTGTATATAGGCTTCAGCTTCAATCAAAGCTTCTTGGAGAGTCGCAACTCGTTTTCGGACCAGGTCGAACTTGAAGGTCGACCCATCCTTAAGACCTCTGAAAAAATCAGTGTAGGCTACCTCATCCGGCAGCCCTTGAATTTGAATCCTCATCAGGTTGAACCGCCTGATGTATGAACGGAGCCCCTCCTTTTCACCCTGCTGAATGGTCCCTAAATCAAGGGTTGTCTTCTTTGCAGTAATGTTCATAGAAAAATTGGAGGTGAACAAGTAGGCAAGCGTCCTGAAATTATTCATGCAACCAGTCGGCAGGTTGCCGAACCATTGTTGTGCAATTCCTTTGAGAGTTGCTGGGAAACACTTGCACCAAGTGGGATCATCCAACCCTTGGAGGTACATTAGGTTGGTGAACGCCATTAAGTGATCTTCAGGGTTAGTAGTGACATCATAGGCACCTACTAATACATTATTAACTTTGGCCGGCTGGGCGGCCTCTGTAATTTCCTTGGAGAAGGCGGACGTTTGTTCTCCAAGTCTTAGCAACCTTAGTTGCCAGTCCAAAGGTTGGACGCTTTTTGCCGCCTGTCCTCCAAACAGAGGACGCTGCAAAAAGTATTGTTGTTGCGGTACGTATGGCATGTTTGGTACCGCCTGTTCTTTATGAAATCCAGACCGACGGGAGGTACCGCCTGTCTGAATCTCATAATTTGACCGAGTATACCTCATAGAGGTATTGTGCAGACTATCTTGGAAATCTGAAGTGGAGGCCGACTCTGGCAGTCGGTCATTCTTCTTTTGCTCCAGCAACAGCCGAGCATCTGAGTATATTTTCTTTGACCCATCCGCTTGTACATGACGAATGGGCTTTCTCTTCCCCGGTGAGGAAAAACGATACTTTGTTAAGTCGATCACAGGCGGCTCCCACTTCCTAGAGTTAGGGTGGGGGGTCGCCTCTCGACCATGTACAGGTTTCCTTCTTCCAGATTGAGAAGGTTTCCTAGCCGACTGCTCCTTGGAGGGAGCAAGCGTCTTCTTATTAATTAATTCTTGGATCTCTCCTTTGAACCCCCTCATGAAAGTCATGAGTTCGTTTCTTGTAATGGGAGCGGATCCTTCAGCCGCCTGTTGCTGATCAGGCGGTAAGCCGGCTGGATTGCTGGGTCAAGCTTGGTAATCTACCCGTTCTTTCCTTTCGGTATGACGGGTGCGTCGGGCCCTTAGGGTCTCGTCGGAGGCCGTGTGTGCTTCAACCTCGACCTCATTCTCAGTATCTTGGTCAAAGTAGACTTGAGGGTCGTCCACTGGACGCCTCTCTTCTGGATTCGGTACAGAATTTGATGCCATCTCGAAAGTACTCTCCCCACAGACGGCGCCAAAATGTTTCGAGGTTTTCTGATGTTCTGCGGGAGAGTTACAATTCCGAGACTGGAACCGTGCGCCTGTACTTGCAAAACAACGGAGACTTCGGGTGGTGGGAGCTCCGCTTCCGACGATCAAGTTAGTACTTGCTTTGGGAGTAATAAATGCGGAAAAAGGTAAAGTGTTTTCTCTAGGTCAGAGTAATTAATTGGGGTAATCCCCCTTTAATGAGGATTAATGAAGGTATTTATATGCCTTGGGATGCGTGCCAGTCCTAGGTTTAGGTCAACCTAGGGCTGATTGGGCTTCCACAAGACTTTGGGCCTAGGTGGCCGGTTTTTTCCATTTGGCATGGGGGAGGACACGTGTCGTGTCGTAACTGGTCCATGGGGGACTGATCAGTACCTAACACGTGGCAGGCTCCTATTGGCCCACGTGGCGGACACATGGCAGAACTTGATTGGTCCACTTGTCGGACGGTGATTGGTAGGGAAAAATCCCCTAATCACCAATTAAAATGATGCAAATATTTTAAGAAAAAAAATACGCACGCAAGTACTCCCCTCCGTGTTTTTTAGTGTCCCATGTCTAGGGATGTCAATGGGGCGGGGCGGGGCGGATGTTGGCCTTCCCATCCCCATCCCCATCTAAAATTTTCATCCCCATCCCCGCGGCGGGTCTAAAATTCATCCTCATACCCGCCCCGGCGGGTACAATTCCAAAATCATCCCCGCCCCAACCCCCACCTAATCCCCACCTAGGACCCGCTTAATCCCCACCTCCCAAATACACAATCTTTCATAATTAATAAAGATTGCAAAAAGAAAAAAATTATTGTTAATATTACATATTTTTTTGTTTATAATATAAGTGTATTATAAAATATTATATTTACTATTTTATTTTACATAATTTTTTTTATAAAATAGTATAAAAGTATATAATTTTGTTTTTAAAAATATATGAATGTGGGGATGAGTCGGGTACGAAGTGGGGTAGGTGGGAATGGGGTGGGTAAGAAGTGGGGCGGATACAACCTAAAATCCACCTCCGCCCCATCACCCATGGCGGGTATGGTTTTTATCCCCATCCCTGCCCCTTTACTCACGAAACCAAGACCCGTCCCCACCCCGTTGGGGCAGGGATGGGGCATGTCTCCTATTTGACCCGCCCCACTGACATCCCTACCCATATCCTTGGACAGCACATAATTTTAGGCAAAAGAATAAAATAGTGCATGGGTGGGTATGGTTAGGAATAAAATATTTGAAAAAATAAGAGAGAAATATAAATGGGGACCACTAGGATTAATGTGAGAAGAAAATAATATAAAATGGTAGTGGGGTAAAAAGGAAGAGAAATAAAAAATATATAGTGTGAGTAGGGTTTTTACTTACTAACAAGACACTAAAAAACAGTTGTTTCTTATTTGTGAGAAGTGAGACACTTAAAAAACCCGGAGGGAGTACTCCATATCTCAATAAAAGCTGAATCATTGCAGATCTGATGATGAGAAGATAAAACAGAACAACGACACAACTCCCGACCCAAATTCTGATTGTTTTCTTGGTTGTAGCATAAATTTTGAAGTAATAGGCGCCAACACAAACACAAACACAAACCAATTCAAAATAAAAAATCCTTTATTTCCAGCCAAAATAGCAGTAGCCACAAAAACACTCGTCCTTTGTCCTTTCTAACTCATCTTCCTTATCCTCCTACCCATCATTTTCTTCTTTGGGTCCTCATTCCTTTTGTGGTTCTTCATTTTCGATTTATCATAAATTATTCTAACCCACAATTATCTCATTCCTTAATTTACATTTATGTAATATAATTGATTATCAATGGATAAATTTATAAGAAACCCATTATAATATTCCTGTCCAATGTAGAGAGATTAATTGTTTTTCTAACACAATGGCAAAGATTTCGCAAAGAGAAAAGATTTTATTAGGATATGGTTCTTCTAATTCAAATTCTATGTCAAACTCTTCTAGTAGAAGAAACTCTGAAGTTGATTTTAGTGATGTTTTTGGTGGGCCACCAAGGTGTTCTACTCAAGAATATTACCAATATGAAGATGATGATAGTATTAATTGTATTGATGATGATAATGATATTGATAATGATAATGATAATGATAATAATTCGGGTGATGGGTCTCGGGTTTCGTTGTTCGGGTTGGAGAAACCTGTGTTTGGAGAACAAGTTGGGGGTCGGAGGAGGCACACAAGTGAGGATTTTTATGGAGATATATTTGGTGGTGATCAACCATTGTTGAGCTGTTCTTTATCAACAAGTGTGCCTATGCCTGGTAGAAACCCGTTTTCGTCGGCCCCGGGTTCGAGGAATATGAGCCCTTCCCGGCAAATGTATCCTGCAGCTGAGCCCTCTGCAGCTCCCTCTAAGTCCAGGTGATGCATATACTCTGTTTATAAGAATTTCAGTAACTTAAAACTGCTGTACAAAGTCAAACATATTTAATAAAAAACTTTTCAATTCAACTTATAAAAAAATTTCAATTTCAAATTTATTGCAATTAATAATTCATTGATTAGTCAGATGTTTAGGTTGCACCGTATAGATGAGATTACTTAAAAAAATGATACATCAATACAATAAATTAGTTCCAAATTCTTAGATATGCAATACATAAGTGGTGGCGTATCAAAGGTATTTTATTTTGTGGCTACACAATAGAGGATCTTCACGCATTTATACTCCCTTCGTTCCTAAGTAATTCGTGTATTAACAATACTTACTTCTATCATTTGTTTTTAAAATACTTGATACTTCCTAATTAAAACACAGGATTACTATTTTTTTTTCTTTTTTCTCGCGCTAACGGCACTTACATATTTAAATCCTTAATTTTCTGTTCCACAAAAAATTTGAGTTCTTTATTTTCATGTACTACCAACAAATCTTCTAAAAAAAACTTGCAAATTAATATCAAATTGTTGCAAGTTTTTAGGAACGGATTTAATATATGTTGCAATAAAATATTCTTGATTGATTAGTTATATCACTTATACCAAGGTTGCAAATCTAGACAAGAAAACTCAAAAGTCAACACAATATATAAGTGTGTTACACCAAGAATAATAATTATTATTATTGCAAATCCTTAGGAGCTCATGATATACGTGGAGTTAGGTGTATCAAAGAGTAACTTTTGTGCATTATAAACACCCCAGATGAGCAAATAAATACCATCAGGTGCACCTTTCTTGGAAGTGTATCTGGTTGTACAATTGAGGGCCTCTACACTATATTAAGATAGAAGTTGCGAAAGGAAATAGAGGGGAGAAGAGAAGAAATGAGTTCGAATTTTTGTTCCAAATTTTTTAGACTTTGAAAGGATTTGGCTTATTCAAAAGTTAGAGAATTGATATCCTCTTATTCTTTTCCCTTCTCTCTCCTTCGAGGTCATATCCAAACAAGGGAAGACGAATCCCTTACATTTTTCCATTTCTTTTACCTTGCACTATCTACATAATTCGCTAGACATATACTTGTATATGTAGAGGTTAATGAGGTGGAGTAGTGACATAACTCCCCACCTCAGATCCTTTAGGTTTAGGGATCAACCTTTCGGGACTCACTAAAGAGATTTCCCTTATCTTTTCCCACTCAATTGACTCTCCTTACCATTTAAATTAAAATAAGCCTTTGAAATCGATCGTTTGTAGAAGCTTGTTTCCTTACCTTCCATACTCAAAGAGTTGAAAAAGCTTGTTTCCCTACAGCTACAATAGTATACAATTTCATTGAGATAAGCTGCTCGATCCAAAAGCCATAGCAAAAATTCCAGTATATAGACTGAGATGAATGCTTGTTGCTATTCATAATTATCCTCTATGTAATTTGTCAAAAATTCTATCGGACTCCACACATTTTCGGTCATACCCTTTTGTTCTATGTCCTACACACTATTGTTTCCTTTCCTCAAATGACATTTCTTCATAGTGAAAAAACAGAACCAGCAACTGCAGGGCAAGGATAGCTTCGTGTTGAAGTGGTCTCACCCATAACAACTTAGCCTAGTTTAGATGCTTATGAAAATCAGTTTTGCAGTTTTTGTGATTGTGTTAGAAGAATGTATATGAGAACACAAGATTGAGTATACCGAAAAGAATTTTCTGCTTTTGTCATCAGGCATACAGCTTTGTTTGCATCTCTTTATCTAACAGGAGGATGACTGTAAGGTATTTATTAACTATTTGCAGCTTACCAGGAAGAACGATGAGCCCAGATACTTTGACATCTACCTCATTGAACCAAAGCTCGAAATTGTCTGGGCGTTCATTTTCCAGATTTAACCAAACCAGCCAGAATCATTCTGCTTTGCATGATGATACTCCCTCGTCTTATCAACCTAGCACTTTGTCACGTGAGGTTTCTATTGATGGTAAAGAGTCGACAAGTGACAGAAATTTAGATGGAGCAGATTATGAAGGCGAGTTTATAATAAATTCAAAAGATTCAGAAGTTCATAATAAAAACATCCAGTTTCATTTTTCAATGTATAAATGGCCTAGCAAAGGAGTTCCAATTGTTATGTCTTCTAGGAAAAGAAGCACTTCAAGATCAAAAGAAAGAATAAAAAGTACTGAGAGATACTTGAGCACTAGTGAAGGGATTAGCAGTGCTTACCTGGTTATGGAAACGCATAAAGGAGATGTAACTGTTAATGAGTCTCTATCCTCCAGTAAACGCCGGGTGCCATCAACTTCACAAAGAGAGCGTGACCTCAAAAATGAAGACACAAACGTACGTGTCATGAGTGTAGAATGCAACTCTGATAATGAAGTTGGAGAAGCTCCTTCCGATGGACTAGAGGGTACAGAAAAAGTGTCTCATCTTTCACAGAAAAGTTCAGAAGCAGTAGCAGATGATTTTTCACAGAAAAAATCCTTAAAGAAGACAAAATCAAACATGAAATCTCTAGGTTCCCTGTTTGGAGAAGAGAAAAAAGGTATCATGACTTGTTATATATGCTTGTAATTTGAAAGATTTTATTATGTTGTTGCTTCTAATTTCATAGATATAATTTTATTATTTCTCTAAGAGGTGCTATCATGCTATGCAGGGAAAAAAAAGGCAACTACTGAAAAGGGAGGGAAGAAAAACAAGGTCAATGAAACAAAAAAACCATCTATGAATGATAGCCTCTCGAGTAATATTAACAAAGGAAAGGTACATTCGTTGAACACTGGAGAAAGAGAAACAGATGATATCTCAAGTTACATTGTTAATAATAGTAAGGTTCATAAGTCGTCCACTGGAGAAAAAGTGAATGATGATATCTCAAGTAACAATGTAAACAAAAGTAAGGTGCATATGTCCACAGGAGCAAAAGATGATATTTGTAAAGGCGATGGTTCTGGAAAAGTTAAAGATTTTGTCAAGATATTCAATCAGGATACTACTTCAACAACAAAGAGTAATGTTGTGGGTAAAAGTCGTAGTTGGAGATGGAGGAGCACAACCAACTTCGAAGCAGAGAAGGAAGTTGACATCCTTCCAGCCAAAAACCATGATGACATGCATGCTTCCTATGTCAACTTGGAAAAAACTTGGTCAGAGACCATTGAAGTGGTATTTAAATCTTTACTCAATATGAATCAAATCTAAGATAACTTAATAGGGTTGTGCACATCAGATATCCGATCCAAAATCATATTTCTTATATTGGATATTCATTCGAAAAATGACATTTGAATTGGCATCTGATATCACTTTTTGTGTTACATATCCAAAAATTTAACTGGTAATGGATCATATTTTCAGATAGACAGCCCTAGGCAGAATTAGTTTCTCTATAATTGATAGTGGGAATCATCACTCATAATGGTAGAGTTCATTGCGTTCTATTGTTCTACATCAAAAATCTTTGAAGTACCATCCTAACATACTTTTTTGTCTAATTTTGCAGATTGATGAAGATTCTTTTTTATCAGAAGAACAAGTATTCATGGTCGATGGTAACGATAGAGTTGCTGATACTACTACCTCAGCATCAAATAATGGTTAGTTAAACCTTTTTTACGACTAAATGTTGGATTCAAATTGATTTGCTTATTACTTAAAGCCTGCTTTGAAATTCGAATGGATAGCTAGACCGAAGTGACAGTTTCATAGTTGTCAATACAATCCTCTCATAGCGTATTATACTTTCTATGCAATACAAGTTAATAATAAGGATTTATTATCCTCAATTATCTACTGATTTGGCTCAAAACCCCAAAAATTATTTGAAAGTTTAGAAATCTATAACCTGGAGTTAGTTCTAGTCCTTTTGACACTATCATGTTTAGCCTGGAAATGTTAGAGTTGCTTATAAACACTGCATATAAAACTCAATGAAATAAACCTCTTAAACTGCTGAGTTTTATTTTCTTGCCTTATCATTTAATATTTTCATAGATCAAACTACATCATAGAATGTGTTTCCAGACATCCTAGTATAGTACTTTGTGACAATTATTTAGGGACGAGAGGATTATATTATTGGGAGAGACTTAACTTTATTTCTACAAAAAGTATAATTATGTCTTCAACTTATTTTAATGAAACAAGTGATTTATTTTGATCTATCTGCTTTTGCTAGAACCAAATATTGATGGCATTGGAGTTTCTGCTACGAAAAACGAAACTAACTCTGTTGATGACATCCTGGTACGTAATTAAACCAATATTTCTTACTAAAAATTCTCTAATTAATGTTTTTATTTATAGTATTGAACACTTGTTCTTTGTCACAGTCAGTAGTCCATGCTTCTCATCTTCAATTAATCACTTTAATTTATGTTATGATTCTTATTAATAGGATAGTGGAATGATACAAGACATTGATACGCAAATAGCAACTGAATCACAGGAGGAAACTAAGGTAACCAGTTGCATTCATACCCCTCCTCTTCACCTTACCTAAATACAGTGAAATGCAGCTACTAATTTACTACATTACTTTTCAGAGTTATGAACGTAAAGTACGCCAGTGGTCTAAAGGAAAGGAAGGAAACATACGCGCTTTGCTTTCAACAATGCAATATGTAAGTGTGTACACAATTTTCCGTCTAGATTTTGTTGTTGCGTCACTAGTTCATTTAGATTATTTATGTTACACTTGATTTCATCAAGAGGGAGTATAGTTATCAATAGGCATAGAAGTTGGACTAATAGTAACATAACTTAAAGTAGTAACTAAATAACAATGTATATCTTAGCTAAATACCTTTGAACGAACCCCAAATCAACTAAGATATCTAAAAAAGCAAAATATGTCATATGTGATCTAAAAGACTGAAAAATGCTTTAGAAGTCGAAATTTTGAACTTTGTCAATCAATATCATAGCAACTAATATCTGTATTATGCGTTCATAGGTTCTTTGGTCTAATAGTGGATGGAAGCCAATTCCACTAGTTGATATAATAGAAGCAAATGCAGTGAAAAAAGCATATCAAAGAGCTCTATTGTGTTTGCACCCTGATAAATTGCAACAGAAAGGGGCAGCTCCATATCAGAAGTTAATTGCTGAAAAAGTTTTTGATATCTTACAGGTAAATATAATTTTTAATTTTTAACAACTTTTCTCTATTAGTTTTCAAGATACAAAATATTCAACATCGTCTAAAAAGAATGGAATAGGATTGTTGTTTAAGTTGTTAGTAGTTTTATACTTCCTCTATTTTTTTTTTATACTTGCAACACTCCTTGTTATCACACTATTTGAGGAGGTGATTAGACTAAGTCAACGGATGAATTAAACTATGAAATTTAAACCGTTGCAACTTATCACTTTATTCTTTTCGGTGTTAAAGTTGTGAATTTATTTATCTGTTTACCCAGTCTAATTCTCCCTTACAATGCGTGCCGAAGGGGTGTGTTACGAGTAAATAAAAACGGAAGAAGTATATAGTAATTGCATATATAGAATCTATCTACTTGTTAGAAGTTTCATATACTGTGATTGCATGGCATCTATCTACTTGTTAGAAGTTTCATTTACAACCATTGCATGGCATCTAATACTTGTTAGAAGTTTCACATACCACAATTTCATGGCATCTATCTACTTATTTCATATACTGCGATTGCATGACATTTATCTACTTGTTAGAAGTTTAGATACCATTATTGCATGGCATCTATCTACTCGTTTCAGATACCGCGATTGCATGACATCTATCAAGTTGTTAGATGTTTCTTATACCAAAATTGTATGAAATCAATCTACTTGTTAGAAGTTTCATATACCATGATTGCATGGCATCTATCTACTTGTTTCAGATACCGCAATTGCATGACATGAATCTACATGTTAGAAGTTTCTTATACCGCAATTGAATGACATCTATCTACTTGTTAGAAGTTTGGAATGCCACAATTGCAAAGTATCTATCTACTTGTAAGAAGTTTCATGTACCGCAATTGCATATGACATCTATCGTTCATAGAATCGAAAAATTCTGATGCTATATAGAGCCTAAAGCTTAGTTAAACCTATTGTGAACTTAGCAGACTCAAATAGACAATTTTTTTTGAAGTATGCAATATCTCTTGCAATTTTGATTAGAGAATTGATTTAAAATTACTCTATACTTGTATATTTAAGGAAATATAATATATTGATATTTTTATTATTTCGGCCTGTACAGGAGTCTTGGGATCAATTTAACGCCATTGGACTTCTTTCTTGACAGTTCATGTTAAATCATAGCATAAATTGATTAATTCATCGACTGTTTTTGTTGAGGGATGTATTATAATAGCAATTAGTAACAGATGATTGTACAGACGACTTTTTCTTTGTTCATATATTGTATCTTTATTTCTTTTTCTTTATTGGAGTAAAACTGTAAATACCTAAGAATGTTTCCCCAAATAAAGTCCGATGACGAAAAAAATGTCCGATGACGAAACAACTTTTACTGTCTAATTGGTCCGACTCACATAATGTATCTAAGAATTATTAGAATAGTCCTTTTGTTCTAGCCTACTATCATTTTCTAAGCCATTTTAATAACCCAAATACTTTCCTAGTCCAAAATCTATAAACATTCATCCAATTTTCTCTTATATAACTACAGCCCAAATTCGAGCAAATCAAATTTTCGTACCTCATAATTTTTATCCAAATCTTCTATGGTATTATTTTTTTTTTTTTTTTAATTATGAATTTTGGATCAAAGGTTATGATAAATCAAAAACCATAAAACAATTGACCCGCGCGATGCGCTTATGAAATTCTATCTTCTAATTTTAATGAAAAAAATACAAGTTTATAACCTTGATAACAAGAATTGTTTATCAAGGGGTGTGATTAGGGTAAAAATACCCATGACAAATGAACCAATGCCACTGCAGCACGTGTCATTCAAAGGTAAGTATGGGCTTCAAGCCCGATACCCTAGAAACCGCAAATCGGTGGAAACCCATTAAACTGGGTTAATAACCTAAGGGACACCTCTCCCAAAACCTCTATAAATACTGGTCATTCACATCAGTTAAGGGAGACCTGAATTAAATACACATTCAACCCACACAAATCAGAGAGCGAAGGCTCAGATATTGAGGCTGTCACAAACAGCTGGATTGATCACTCCTCTTTTAAGAGGAACCTGATCCCATTTACTTTCCACACTTTACTCCTCATACACGTTCTAACTTGATCGTCGGAGGCGGAAATCCCACCCCCAGGGGTTTCTGTTGTTTTGCAGGTATATGCAGCTAGAGGTTAGTCTTGGTGTTGTAACTCTCCTTCAGGACACATAAAAAACCCCAAAACATTTGGCGCCATCTGTGGGGAGAGTACTACTGAGATGACTACACAACAGTCTGTACCGTCTGCTGATAGGAGCGGCCTATAGTTGAGTTCAAAGACTGGGTGCCTCCTCCCTACCTTAAACGTCTGAGTCGACTCTAACGTCGACCTACCCAGACAGTTTTCAGAATACCACAATGGGGTTTCTATAATTAAACCGAGGGGGTTAGACAGGTGGCCTGTCCGTCCATTCTGGCCCTCAGATAATCCATTCGGCACAATATGCGCCTTAGTAGCCATACATGTCGTAAGGATAACCGTGTGAGCAGCCGACCCCTTTTCAGGGGTCAGGCAGCAAAAATGTCCATGTGGACAGGCAGCCCTGTCTGCAAAAACTAGCTGAACAACCTTCGGTGTTCTCCAAGGTAACCTTCTGGTGTGAAAGACGGCCAAGTATACAAGCGTCGTCAGGCCAACTGTCAAACAAAGCAGACACCCTGAGGCCAAATACCAAGTGCAATAGCATCATGAGGTTAAATTGTCCTATGCTTAGACAGGCGGCATTATGCCACCAAGGGGCCTCTAACCAGCCAGAATTCCCAAACATGTTGGCATACAAGCGGCAATTGAGCCGGAAAATGAAAAAGTACACACTTGTGAAACCCAACTATATACATGCTACCTCAATACCGAGCCTAGTGAGTCAATATATGTATTAGCAAGGGTAGGCTGGTGCCCACAGTCGTCCAGGCACTCCCTTGTAAACATACCATATAGCCGACACTCCCCCTAACAAGAGTATGCACTTGCACTCAATAGGGCAGCCGGCATAATCCTTGCCCATGCTAAAATATCAGAGCAGGCGGCATCATAACAACCGGCTAGATCTAACCACTCCCGGTTGAAGTTACATGCGCCTAGCATGACACTCGATGGGTACAACCGGCAAGATACCAGCCTCCGAGCACCCTGCCAGGCGGCCAAGTACTGCAGGCGTCATACGGCCGAGTGCGAAGAGTTAGACGGTCAAGCTTGTAAGCTATTCTTAATATCATATATTTTTATGATTTAAAAAAAAAATAAAAAAAATATATATATATATATATATATATATATATATATATATTATTTAGGGTAAATATCACCCTAGACACGTTGCCCAATGGCCTTGCGACACGTGGCAGCCAGCCATGGGTCAACAGGGCGTCAATCCCTTGTTGACACGTGTCCTTTAAACACTAGACACGTGGCCTGCTCCCCCCATTATAAATAGTGGGTCAGACCTCATTTATTGGGCATCCATAAATACAAACACCAATCCCGAGCAATATTAATTGCAGAATCCTCCTGTATCAGCGAGGAGTAATTACTATTTCCGCACTTATTACCTCCTGTATGTTACTGACTTGATCGTCGGAGGCGGAGCTCCCATCAACCGGAGTCTTCGTGGTTTTGCAGGTACAGGCGTCGGTCGCACATACTAGGGATTGTAACTCTCCCGCAGGACACATAAAAAACCCCCGAAACATCTGGCACCGTTTGTGGGGGAGAGTACTTCCTAGATGGCTTCTGAAACTGTACCAACGAATGAAGGAAAACGGCCTCCGGTCGAGCCTGAGGTCCATACGGACTAAGAAAGTGGTGACGATTATGAAATCGACACCTATGTGGCCCCAGACGAGTCCTTCAGAATAAAACACATCCGCTCCAAAGAAATAAAGGAGTGGGGTGGAAGTCAGGCTGCTTCAGGCAGCCCAACCGGCAGGCCGATTGGGACAACCCAGGCGGCAGAAGGTGCTGCTCTTGTCACGAGAGACGAACTCATGAAATTCATGACAAGTTTCAAGGGCGAGATAAAGAGCCTTCTAAACAAGTCCGCCGGCCTAGAAGCTCCCGTCCTCCTGGAAGAAGGCGCTGAAAGATCGTGTGCTTACCCCTCACCCGAAACCAAAGGTGGCGGATGGGTCCACCATCGACGTCTCAAAGCTTCGTTTCCCTGAGACAGGGCAAATGAAGCTCATCCGCAAGCCGGATGGATCAAAGAAGACTTACTCTGATGCCCGGATGCTCATCTAGGAAAAGAGAAGTCTATAGCTGTTCGCGTCAGCTTCAACGTCGACCTACCCAGACAGCTTCCGAGATGCTTCCATAAAGCATTCAGAATCAGACAAAGAGAGTTAGTCGTGCGGTCCGTCCGCGCGTTCTGGTCCCAAAATTATCCAGCCGGTACATTACAGGTCACCGTACATGCCATATGGATCTCCATACATGCAGCCGGCCCTCTTTGGGGGTCAGGCGGCACAACCGGTCCAGCCTATGGACTGGAAGCTCCGGCTGCTTAACCTAGGGGAACAACTAACGACCTTCTCTAGGGAAATTACCGAGATGGCACAACCGGCTAAGGTGAAAAACGTGTTGGTTGGTATCTATGACGGTACCGCCAACCCAGAAGATCACCTAATGGCCTACACCAACCTCATGTACTTACAAGGGTTGGATGATGCCGCCTCGTGTCGGTGCTTCCCGGCTACATTGAAGGGCATAGCCCAACGATGGTTTGGCAACCTGCCAGCCGGATGCATCAACAACTTCAGAACTTTGGCGTACTTGTTTACGTCGAACTTCTCAATGAACATCCCTGCCAAGAAAACGAGCCTCGATCTTGGGGCCATACAACAGGAAGAGAAGGAAGGACTTAGGTCCTACGTCAGGCGGTTCAATCTGATGAGAATTCAGATTCAAGGGCTGTTTGACGACGTTGCCTACACAGACTTTTTCAAGGGTCTGAAAGACGGGTCGACCTTCAAGTTCGACCTGGTCAAAAAGAGGGTTGCCACCCTCCAAGATGCGTTAATGGAAGCTGAAGCCTACATACAGGCGACAGAGCTTTGTGCCGTGAGATACCCGTCGGACCCCAAAAAGTCCGAACGGAGAGAGAGCCGGCCATCCCAGCCGGAAAAGAAAGAAGAAAAGAAAAGAAAAGAAGTCTGGGCGGCAGATCGATCTGGTCAGTCGGCCTAGAAGAGCAGAAAAAGGTCTGAACCGTACGTCCCAAAGTACGAGTTCACCAAGGACTGCTCCTCCATCCTCATGGAGATCAAAGACCGGTTGACTCTTGAAAAACCGACAGCAATGAAAAGTCCCATCAGCAGCCGGGACAAGAGAAAATACTGCCAATTCCATGAGGATGTTGGCCATGAAACCAATGGTTTCTATAGCCTCAGGCGACTGTTGGACCGTCTGGCTGAGGTTGGGGCTCTGAAGTCCTACTTACCCAAGTCCAAGGGTGCCCCCAAGACAAACAAGGGACACCCGTCCAAACCAACAACTGCTAACTCTGAAACAGACGAAGAAATAGTCTTCACTATAGTAGGCGGTTTTGCGGGTGGGGGTCCTACCTTTTGGGGTACCAAGGACAATATCAGAATGCTGGTCAACTCAGTAGATGAGGGCCAGGCGTCGAAAGACACCTTTCCTGAGGTCCTTATTTCTGAAAAGGACCGAGGCCAGGTCAGACGGCCTCACGATGACCCCATCGTCATCGAATGCAAGGTTGCCAACCAACGAGTTGGCCGGATCTTAATTGATACCGGGAGCTCGTATGACCTGATAAGCTATCAGTGCTTGACAAAGCTCAAGTACAAGCCCAGCAACATGCATGAGGCTCTTCACCCCTTAGTCGGTTTTGGGGGAGGGGTGGTGCATCCGGTGGGAAGGATTGACCTACCCATCCGGCTGGGAGAAAAGGGGCAAGGGCGGCAAATGGTCGTCAAGTTCCTTGTTGTTGAGGAGTTGACCGCCTACAATATGATTTTTGGTTGCCCCACCCTCAACGAGTCCAAGACAATCATCATCCCGTCTCTCATGCTGCTCAAGTTTCAGAACGATGATGGGACAGTCGGTGCCCTGAATGGGGACCAAAAGACGGCTAGGGAGTGTTACCTCTCAGACGTCAAACCAACTATGGCTTCAGCCGGTCATGGTGAAGAACCCATAGAATTGGATAATTGTGATCATGCAGTGCCGGCTCCAAGGGCAGCCGGTAAAAAGAGAAAGACGGACCAACTGACACCCGTC